CCGACGGGCTCCACACGCCCTCTCTCACCACACCGAGCCCGACCCGCTCCACACGTCCTCTCTCACCACACCGAGCCCCCGACGGGCTCCACACGTCCTCTCTCACCACACCGAGTCCCGGCTCCGCACGCCCTCTCTCGCCACACCGAGCCCCGACCGGCTCCACACGCCCTCGCTCACCACACCGAGCCCCAGTCCACACGCCCTCTCTCACCACACCGAGCCCCGACCGGCTCCACACGCCCTCTCTCACCACACTGAGCCCCGACCGGCTACACACGCCCTCTCACCACACCGAGCCCCGACCGGCTCCACACGCCCTCTCTCACCACACCGAGCCCCGGCTCCACACGCCCTCTCTCACCACACCGAGCCCCGGCTCCACACGCCCTCTCTCACCACACCGAGCCCCGGCTCCACACGCCCTCTCTCACCACACTGAGCCCCGACCGGCTCCACTGACCGTTAGGCGCGGCGGGAGCGGTTCTTTGGGCCTGTGATACTGTAGGGCTGCATGAAAATGTTTCCATTTTTTAAAAAAGTGTTTTAACTTTTCATTCAGCCTGGACTATATTTGTCTTTATGCCAATAATGTCACAAAATATAATTGTTAATACTGGAGGAAGGAGCCGCTGAAAGCAGCGCTGTGGGGCTCACAAGTCATGCGGCCGCCCTGGCCATGGCTGCTCCTGGCCTTCGTGTGGCTCTGCCCCCTGTGCCTGTCGGTCTTCCCCAAAATCTGTGTGACCCTCAAAAAAGCAATTGTCATTCAATGCATATTTTTTGGCACACAGTGAGCTGAGTTTGGGGAATTCCAAGATGAAAAGTCACAGTTGGGGCAGCAGGAGAGCAGGAGAACCCCAGCTCATTGCTGAGCAGGACAGTGGGCACAGCTGAGGCTGGAGCCATGAAAGTGACTTGGTTCCAGTTGGCACAGCAGCGCGAGGTCCCCCAGCAGTATTTCGCATCGGAGGACAGGAATCAGATGAAAAGAAGGATTGCACATATTCACGTTTGAAAAAGGAGTCAAGGTGTATTGCTGCTTAGGGAGTGATAAGATAAGGAGGCTTTGTTGGAAGCCTGATAAGGGTCAACCAAGGCAGTCATACTGGAGAGGGAAGAAAGTGAACCGGAAGAGGAGTAGACAAACCTGGAGAACGGGACATTGGGATGGAGGGATGGAGGTCATATGTGGTCAAACACATGTTGATTAGAAGAGGACTTAGCTAAAAGTCTGGTAACTAAGCAGAAACTCCAAGGATAAATTAGAGGTCTCAAGGAAATCCTAAAAGATAACTTCATTTCAAGGATAAAAACAGACCTCTGCAAAAACCAGTGACATAGGTAGTTCGGGTTATTGGCAGGCACTTGTGGAGGATGTTGGGTGTAAGGCTGTCAATACCCTCATCACGGGATCACCGCAGTGTATTGTGTTTACTCCTTTACTCCACTACTCAGTGAGCTCCCTGGCAGAAGACCATGCCAGCGTGGTGTCTCCTTGCCCCTGCCTGTCTGATGCCTGTTGATGCTCACTAAATGAGGGAAGAAGGAAGGACAAAATGGTGAAGGGCTCGTGTATGTCTTGACAAAAGCAGCCACTCAGCCTCATTCGGGTGGAGCCCTCCTGCGCTGGCAGCCACTCTGCCTTGGCATCCTCAGACTAGTACTCTGCACATTTGAGAAAAAGGCCTTAATTTTCCTTGAGTCCTCAAGTGAATGTCAGTATCGAGTCAGAAAAAGGAGAGAGGTTAATAACCTCCTCTAAGAAAAAAAAAATAGGGGTGGAGAATGACAGAAATCCAAAAACTAGTAACGCTACCATTTTTTATTTCAGAAGAAATCAGGCACTCTCTTCTAACAACTGCTACTGTTTCGTTAGCAAAACAGAGACCTTAAAAGCATCGTCTATTTTTTTATGTATTTTGTAATGTTGTTTCTGTTTTTGTTATGCTCTTTCCTATGCCCTATAACAGTTAGAAGAAACTCTTTTAAAATAACAAGATCCTGTGCAATTTCTTTTTTTTATTATTTTTATTTTTTTTTATTTTAGTATATTATGGGGGTACAAGTGTTAAGGTTAGGTATATTGCCCATGCCCCCTCCCTGTGCAATTTCTTTGGTGAAAAAAAAGGGGGTCTCTGTGTAGAAAATGTCCTGCTCTGAGCCAGTCTTGGGAAGAGGAACCATAATATGCTATTAACTAATGAAAGAATGAAGTGAGAGACGAAACTTAGGAAGTAGAGGAAAGTAAACCGAATCTCCGAGAAGCTAAATACTGTGATAATTCATTCCCTCTTTCATTCAATTGCAATATTTATTACAAGCCTGTGATGTGCCAGACGCCGGGCTAGGCACTCAAGGAATGGCAGCAAACAAGGCATGTGATTCCGCCCTTGCG